GGTTTTTTTAGCTCTCCCTTGTTATTTTGAAAGCAGAATTGGCATCGTACCAAATAAGTTCATAAATGGCGAAATGACATTTTTTTAACACAGAAAATCCCTTGAAAGTAAAAAGAGCAGCGAATAGTAAAACAAAAAAGGGTCAACTTCTGTTGCCAGAGTTACAATCTCTTCTATAAATTATGCACAAATTACAATTTGAAAACCCTGGAGCCAGGGAGGGAATTTTCTTGCCTTTGGTTGTCCTGCGTGACATAACTACAAACTACAAACAAAAACTTGACTAACTAGATGACTATAACTATAGATGCTCCAGACATGTGACCAGGAAATGCACAAGCTGAGATAGCTAATAAGGATTTGGGATTATTTTTTGGATTAAAAAGAGAGAGCGCTTCTACCAACTTCATGTTGCGTAGAAATATATTGGCTTCAGAGAAACTCCTGCACAAAGTTTTTGAATTTACTTTGTAAACCTGTCGTCTGACATGTCATAAAAGTTATTGATGTCAGACTATCGTCTGACATGAATAACGTCTACGCATATTCAGATACCGATCTTGGCGAAGTTCTATTCCATAAGGTAATGCTTGGCGACAAAGGAAATAGGGATCTTTCTAGTAAGATCTATCATAAACATATTTGTGCCCTTCCTAGTGCTTGTTAAGAGAAAAAATTCATTAGACCAAATTTGAGATGGAGGTAGAAATCACAAAATTGCAAATGACGAGGAAACTGCTTTTGAAACCCCTAATTTTTCAGGCTGTTAAATGATCGGAAGGACGATTTTCACAAATTGTGAAAATTTTGAGAGACTTATCTTTGAGAGACATATCTTAGTAAAGATCTGTCATAAACATATTTGTGCCCTTCCTAGTGCTTGTTAAGAAAAACAAATTCACAAGAAACTCCTAATTTTTTCGTCTGTTAAATGATCGGAAGGACAATTTTCACAAATTGTGAAAATTTTGAGAGATTTCATTAAAGCAAATTGAAGTAAATCAAAGACAAAGCCAAATTATCACTGGCGAGCGCCTCCCTCTCGTGGAGCCTTAGCTTAATAACGAAAATCATTTTGATTATACTTGGTGATGATGATAGTGACAATGAATCCTTGCCTTTCTCTATTCTTGGATACTAAGCAACAAGTGATGATGAAAAATAAGCTAACTTGAAATTGCTTTTTATTTAATATAAGTTAACACCGACACAAAACACGCATGGCGGTTGTTAACAAAATTTAAATTTAATAGTTAAATATATCATTCTTAAAAACCTTAAATTACTTAAAAACGATTCAGAGACTGGTACTATCTTTTTGCAGCCTCCATTTATCTCATAACTGATCAGTTCATGTCCACTAATGCCATCTATTGCATAACTTGCACTTATTGAAAAAAGTTAAACATTGGTGAAAAGGGAAGACGACTAAGTGACGGATTCCGAGAACACCTTCGCGATGTACAAAGAAATAACAGGGACGCAT